TTTAGCATCCTCTTCAAATGGTTAATGAAATTTAGTACTCCCGATTTTGACAATACTTCACATTTCATTAACAGATTTCCTACTGCGAATGAACCATATTACACCCAAACAAGGCTTTTGAAACCACATTTTTTCATATTTTTCAAATGTTCGACATTTTGCTGTGAGAAACTTACAATGTTAGAGGCATGATTTATGCATAACCTGCCAGAATGCTAGTATGTATTGATTCCGTTTTTAACGCCTAAGTAACACTAAACATCTGCTCCACTGTATTAGATACCACCTAGAGTAATCATAACTTTATTAGTTATTCACACTTTTTAATCATTTAATATTCAAGAAAATGGCAAAAATGGTACCCTTGGAACAGTGAAGCTGTGCTATTTGAATTTATGGGTAAATTAGATTTTGTTAGATTTTGTTTTCGTTTCCCAATTAAAGTCATTTACACCCCCCCCCCTCAATTTCATCCCCCTCAGGCTCTGTTCCGAGTGAATTCATCTTCTCGACTTTGCCATACTACATTGCTCAATTCAAACAAATTATCAAACCATTTCAGTTCATATTTCTTTTAAATCCAAATACAACAAAGAAATTGGCCATGAATAATCAAAATTAGCACCTTTTTTCCCCAACAGCATTTTAATAATATAATTAATACAACAAAATTTACGGTCGTGAGGCAAAGATCGCAGTTGTAAAATCAGTAGCGAAGTGTATGGTATTCAATGAAAAAAAAAGTCCTCTTGAATATGTATCGAAAATACTGCATTGAAGGCACACAAAAGTTGATGAAAGTGGGAAATAGCAACTTCAATAGCATCATATGATGTTGGTTAAAAATTTCAACCTTTATCATTCAGTTATTCTTAGGTGAAAGGTAACAGTTCCTCCCGTTTGGTATAACTAGAACATTGTGGTTCTGAAATAACAAAGGGGAAAGGCCCTCACTCTTGGAAATTAGAACCATTCGACTGTAGTACTTCACATTGCTGACTATGCCCAATTGGCGAGAGTAAAAATAAGTAAAGAATTCATTACTTATCTAAACCTCTTTCCTCCTTAAAATAAAATCCGATCTTATCCTACTAATATTCTCTTGCAATACGTGTTTAATACCACAATAATTCAGAGAGATAACATCTTTCCTTTCTCTGATAATGAAATTTGTGAGACAATGAACTCCGTGGCCAATCCCTAAGGCTTTCCTATTTCTCTCCTTCCTCAAATAAGGTAGAGTAGACAAATTTTCCAAAATTTGTCGATGCGATTGGGTCTACGAAATGCCAGATAATTTGATATCATTTTTGATCAAGTTTCGATTAATTTTCACCTTTTTACAACCAAACACAAGTGACGAGAATACTTTACTAGCTCACTCAAGTTGAATTATAATACCTGCAGATTTGTTAGTAGTATTTACAGACATTACTCTGCCGTGCAATATCAGGCCCGTTGATAAACGAAACCCGAAAAGCTCGATCAATAGACCTGTGATAGAAGGGTTTAATTTACCAAGTAGAGACTATACTTGTCAATATTTCAAGAAATAGTGGTGTCTAGGAAGCGAAAATGTTTACTGAAGAGTAAGGCTCACTACTTTGAGTTTAGTTATTTGTTTTCGTCTAATGTTATTATTTACCAGGGGTACCAAAAAGGCATCTCTTGGAACACTTTTTTCATCGCACCTCCTTTGTGAAAAACATTCCTGACCTTTCAGTTCAACTTCTTGCTTTCGACTTCAATCGCATTTCAAAATGCTTCATGGGCCTGAAGAGATGATATGGGGAGAGGGGGGGGGGTTGCGGTGAGTTCTGGCGGTTATGGAGTGAGTTTACGAAAGCTCGACTTCGGTATTTTTAAGGGTATGCATGGGTGTCGGATTTGGATATAGCCTTTATTTTTTGCTACTAATATTACCGTAGACAATCCTTTTCTCACCCTAGTAGCAATTGCATTAGCAAAATGACGAAATATTCACCATGGTAATAAAGAACTGCAAGCATATTTCCACTAATCTATATTACGCTGGTAGAGTTGGTGCGATGGCACCCAACCTCCCATCCTACTCAATTTACTCAGGTACGACTCCGCAGTTGGCCATGAAGAAGCGATTCACTGTGATATATTATATTTGTGTCCGTGGACAGTATTCTTTTCTTGAAATAAAGCCATTTGAAAAGTGCATAACTTCTAATCTGATCCCTGAGAGTACTCCCTGTTTTGCTTTGGTTTGCAATCATAACCCCACTATTTGCAAATGGTCTCAAACTCTAATGAAGGAAATCAGAACTAACTTCATCAATTTCCATTAAAATCATCATTAAGGCACCAAAGCAGTAAATCTTAGAGCTCTTGTTGTCATTAGAAAACATGGTGGTCAGAGAGAAGGCTTCCAAACACCAGCGAATCAAAATGAATTTGAAAGGAACTTAAAATATTGATTGCTTTAAAAGTACCGACATGTCATTCAGAGTCTCTGAGATGACAACAGCCAGAAGATTTGAGTCAGTTTCATTCATATCTCAAATCGAACCTGAAACGATAATGTCATTTCCGATTTTGACCGGTCGAGTTGCAACACCACAAATGTTTTATTTAAATACGAGCCTATCTGGCTTAACGCCCGAGACATCCGTGGATTGTCATTTACCACTTTAATCAAAATAAAAATTTGCGGGTACATTCTGTACATTTCTACCTGACTATCAGTATAGACTGGACGAATAAATGAAATGTACAATTTGATTTCATTGTTGCTACAACCTTTTGACAAGCTATCAGGCAAAAGAACTCTCTCATTGTATACAATTAGTTCAAACAAGTATCAAATATGCCAATTTTCTCATACTTATAGCACCATAGAGGGCACCAAAGTTGGAGGCAATACACTTGCAAGGCTAAAATTCCTCCAAATCTACACGAATTTTAAAAACAACGTTGAAAAGAGACAGAGATTGAAGATGGGTGTCCTGTCTACGAGAAGAGAGGGATGGGAAGACATTGGTTTAATTAATTTACTATAGGAAATTTGTAAAAGAAAGTAAAAGAATAAATCTAACAATAGCGTAAATAAAAAATTGAGCAATGGGAAAATGAGTTATGGACAAAACAAGAAAATACCCGATACGCGTTGGAGAATATCGAAAATCGATAGGGCGGATGACACTGACTATGATCCTAATAGTAAATTGTCAAGGCGATATTTATATTAAATCAATGCATAAATGAGTAATTATCAGGCTAATATAATTGACCTAGACAAAATATTGCGATTCAACAGATCATGCTACAAGGTTTGAGTCACTGGAATGACCCGACAAATTGCGTCAATAATTAGGTACAAAATTTGTGTTATGTAAAAAAATTTGCTTTGCCGCACACACTTCCATGGAGACCCTTAGAATGCAAACGTAGCACATGATGTCAGAGGTTCTGATGATGTGTTCTGATTTTTTGACCTCCTCCTTGTCAATATTTGGAAAAGGTATCACCTGTGGTATTTGCAAACCAGTCCAACCAAATCTTAACCACCCAACAAAAATGTGGGATCGGATTTCAGCGGCAAAAAAGAGGACTGAATTCTGTGTTCATTTGCTTTGTATTAATTATTATTATTAAATAATGAATTAAGTGCTCCATCAACAATCAATCTATCACCATAAGCAAGAATTTTTTGCACATAAGCCACAAAGATTTACATTCCAGGGCGTTTATAAATTCGTCAATTATTTAAAAACCTTGTGGAAGTAAAGTTTCTAAAAAAATCTCCCACAATTATTAATTTAAAAAATATGAATTTATATTACAGGCAGGGGTGTGCAATAGACTTACCTCCACGTGGTGCACCCTGGGCAACGTATACTCATACGGCAAAAAAGTCTATTAACTGGCAGTTGACTTCTCACTTCAAACCACCCTCACCCCACCCTCTGTTCCCCCTCTCCCTCTCGACTTTTTCAATTTGATGTTTCTTCCCCTTTGTGAAGCCTGAAGTCAACTAAAGGGCTAATGATATCCATCAAGACGCCTGCCATTTGATATAAATAAATATAAATAATATTACAGGCATTAATAATTCTAATAATGAATTAATTTATCGTATCAATACTTGAATGGCATGGATCAAACTTTTCGTTTTACAAATTATTATTACCTCACACTGAAATATTTGATAAGATTTTTATTTAACAAAAAATATATGAACTCAATTAGTATTAAAAAATATTTCAGAAAGATTAAATCCTTAGTTCACGAAATTGTTTTCGATTTAGGCTGTTCATTACTTGCTAAACCGAAAGTTTACTGATCATAATACAAAATCTAGGTTCCACAATTTACCGCCCGATATCCCTCCCCCAACCCCCAGGATTACTGGTTTAATTAATTAATTAATTATTATTCCAAAAGCATAATTTAAATATATATCTATCATCGTTTAATTTCGTTCAATTATTTAGGAATTTTTACTTATAGGATTTTTTCTTTGACTATACTGAGAGATTTACTAACAATTTCACGCAAAGCATTATCTGCAAAGACCTTTAAATTGAGCATATTATATCGAGTCTGAATACCAATTAAATATAATGGCGTGGGAAATTCATTTCTTAATTTTCTACACTTAATTGGTTGTAAAGACCGCCCATGACATCCAGACAAAAAACTCAACTCCGAAATTTCTATCAGGTGAGCTTTAGTATCCAATGAAAATGAAGGCGGTGTATGTAACATTTTATTTACATATCTCACCTCATTAACCAAATGTCAACCTCACTAATAACGAATGATCTGATTTATAATATAAACGAATATATCTTCAAAGAGAAATGCGATTTTAAGAAAAAACGGAAATTAACAGTCACATTTCAGCACTGCATTGAAATAATTCTACTATTTATGTTGTAATATACATATATATATATAGCAGAAATATTTTAAAAACATGTTGTGAAAAAAAATTAAGTTAAAGGTTCATGTTGGTCTCCATTTTTTGAATCTCAAGCATTTCAAGGGAAGATCTATGGAAGATCACCTCCGACTATAACTTGAAGGGTTCTTTCGCGCAGGCCTGCGTTGGGACACACGTCCGTATCCGCACACGATCAGCGGCCTCTGATTGGGTGGCCGGAGTGGTCAGAAGATCAAGACAGTAGCGAGCACTTGTACGCGCGCAGAATTCGCTCGTTTCGGTCCTAAAAGAAGAAACTAACGTACGCGATCTAAATGGTTTCTCCCCACTTCTACTTACACGGCCTACACGGCGCTTGGATTTAACCTATTAATTATTTGAGCATGCTACAGCGAAGCCCTACCACCATACTCATCGTAACCATCCTTTCTGTTGTCTATACGACGGACACCGCTCCCAGTCATACCCCCACTCCTTCCACAACTTCGACGTTCCCCAATTTTAAAGTTGTCTATGAATCCCCCAGCTCAGTGTGCTATGCTGATAATCGGGCATACTTGTGCACCCCTCCCTTCACCAATATTGCAGAAGGTGTCCCAGTGGTTGCTACCTCGACTTGTGGACAAGGTGGGCGTCCTGAAAAGATTTGTCAAAATTTAGCTGATGGCCAACAGAGACACGGTCCATGTGAAATTTGTGACGCGAGAAAAAGCGCCACTAGTCGAGGACCTGAGCGGCTGACAGACAGGCACATCACCTCAAATCAGACTTGTTGGGTCTCGGGACGTGTACCTCCAAGTGGAACTGTGAACCTTACTCTCTCCCTGGGAAAACGGTTCGAAATCTTCTACATCTCCTTGCAACCCTGTGGTCCCCTCCCTGACTCGATTGCGCTCTACAAATCGTCAGATTTTGGAAGAACTTGGAAACCCTGGCAGTATTTCTCAACCGATTGTTATCGAGCCTTCGGACTGCCCACAAGTAGTGAGCACAGTGCACAAATCTCTTCAGCAAATATTCAAGAAGTACTCTGTGTTGCCTTGAAGCCTCCTTCCAAGTATAACTCCCAGGGTGGACAAATTTCCAACGTAATCGCTTTCAGTACTACCATCGGTAGATCTACTCTTCAATCCTGGAGTCCTGCTCTCATTGACTGGATGACAATGACAGATCTTCAGATTAGCTTGTCTCGTTTTCCATCGAAGAAAAAGAGCGGAGGTAGTGCGGAAGGCGAAAAGACTTCCACAGATTCTTCTGCTATATTAAACAGACGAGATCGCAGTAGTAGCCAGCGAAGAGTTTCTCAAAAGCCTCCAGTCTTCAGACTTGGTGGCGGTGGAGTGAGCATCAATGGACGACTCTATGATAGAATGCTATCCGATGGGGATGCCTTTAATTCTTCTTCAAAGTTGAGTCACGAGAAGTTAGGAGAAGAGACTGTAAATGAAGATGGTGACAGAGAAGCTGTCTACTTCGCATTCTCGGATATTACAGTCGGGGGGAGATGCAAATGTAATGGCCATGCAAATCGATGCATTAGGGACCGCATAGTGAAGACGGATGTCAACGGTGAGGAGGTGGTCACCTGGGGGCCCCTTCGCTGTGACTGTCAACACAATACCGTCGGTGCTGACTGCGAACGATGTGCTCCCGGATATCTTGATCGACCGTGGGCCAGAGCTACTAATGAGGATGCGAATGTCTGCAAGGGTAAGAGTAGACCTTTCTACTTTTTGCTTAATATTGCATCTTTTTATTTCTCAGAAAAAGAGTGAAAAGTTTATTTTTCTTTTCCTGTTTGTGTTATTTATTTTCGGCCATGGCGAGTCGAGACAGAAATTACAAATAAATGTCAATGCCCATGTCTAATTTAATTTAAAAATATATAATTCATGATTATATTCGGCAAAGTTAATTAAGGTGTATGTAATTATTATATATTTCGAAAAGTACTTCAATGCCCTGTTATGCTGATTTTTTTGCAAAATTTAGGAAGACAATTTTACTCGATCACAAGTCAACTTTATACCTAATAGTGCAGTTAGCGAAAAGAAAACAAATGACCTCATTAGACTTGTCATTGTCAGGCATGTCACATGTAGTTAGCAATTGCGGAGTTATAAATTCTACTGACAGTGAGTTGGGTACGCAGTATTTGGCCACTGATGCGGTCTCCAGATACTCTAGCAGAGGCATCTCGTGTGAGAAGTCTGCCAAAACACCTTCGATTTCTAGTCTTAAAATCGAAACCCCCCCCCCCCCCCCCCCCCCCCCCCCCCCC